ATTGTTGTTTGAATATACATACTTGTATAAATTGCGCTATTATATATTTCGATAGCGCATTTCAAATTTTGTATTTATTTTTTAATTGGCGATAAAGATACAAAAGCTGATAAAATATTTAATTGGAAGTATTTTCTTCAAGCTATTGATTTCTTTTACTAGGAGTTTGTTCCAACAAGTTTACAAATAATTTTATTTCTAAATGGAAACATCATACATTTCTTTTTTATGTTAAGTAACGTTTTCGGCATGTACGGAATTAATATATTTTAAAGACGCAATATTTATCCGTAATTAATTCCTCCACAACATTTATTATGTAATTGGTGACTCGAGTGCCCATCGAAATTTATAGGTATTATGATACAACGCAATTGATCACCTCTTGTGTAAGAGCCCTTCACAATTTCGGACACAAAGCGTTTGTTAATGACTGGAAATCGCAAACTTGACAGCTCGGGGATCCACGAGGGGTCTGAGTGAACGCTTACCCTTGGCGTGCGATAAAACGCCTATAGTTTACGAAAAGTTGGGCAAATAACGACTTAACAGTATTCTGATTAAACATTTGGAAGCAATTAAGCTCGCGTATGTTTTATTCATGAAGACAAATTATGCGTGGGTTTTTATTCATTGGTTATGATCGATCCCGCTCAATAGAGCGCGGGGGTTTATATTAAAAACGCACACATGAAAGGAATTTAGAAATAACACTTGGATTTTAATTAATCATTCGTAGCGTCGATATGAAAATTCTCGATACTGAATTTTTTTTTACCACGACGTCAAATATTAATACAAGTAATTTTATCTGCGGAGATGTCTTTATGTCTTTTCGGGCTGCGTAAGACACATATCGGTAATCGAGTAATATCGTTAAGCGTGATCTCATGAGTAGACTGGTTTCGATTTTGGGGAACATATTTTTCGCTGCATCGTAACATTGTGCCTCGGGCGATAAGCGTATTCTTGTAGTGCCGTAAGGATGTGCCGTTCCTAATCTTCTCTTTCGATAGTTTAAAAATGGATATCGATAGTCCTTCACAGAGTCCTCGATTATTAAATACTTATAACATAATAAATCTCCTCTCCTACATAACACCTAATATCATTATCACACAGCACCCGATACCAACACGCAGGTGTGAATTCAAGTTGTTATTTCATTAGCCGCGTGCATCCAGTTTTCCTGTTAACCCTCTCACTTCCGTCTACCTAAGCTAACAACGCTCGTACAACGTGCCTAGTGCAACAGGGTAGGACTTACGATCTCATTTCAAAATTACAAGAGGATTTTGGTGTTGAAAATAGCCATATAACTATTTCAGGATTTTAAAAACAAGAGTGTAAATTATATGATTATATGATTATGAATATAAATCTAATTTAATATTACGTTTTGGATAAAGCAGGCTGCAAACATGAAACCTTCGCGGTTAAGCCTTTTTGAACAAATCCGTAACTCGCAAAAAACCGTATCAAATTTTAACGAGCACAGTATTTGAGGTACACTTTGTCCAATTTCAAGCTATTTTTGAGTTACTCAAAACTTGTTTGTACTTGTTTCTAAATTATGCGAGAGAAACTTTTAATAAGCTGTGGCTATACTTCTCACCAGATTAGGTTATTATAGATTTTTGTTCAACGCATGTACATCATTCAGCGTATCGATATAAAGTACGTCGCTAGTTTACCGATTTCCGTGTTTAATTAGGGCAATTATTAATTATCGAGAGGCAATAACTCGAAGGGGTGTCGCTAGTGTGTTGTCGATGTGAAATTATATCGTGAGTGATTCTCGCGTATCGGCTGCGGTCGTTAATTATGCGCTGCGAGTCGCGGCCTGAAACAATTGACAGTTTTAATTAATGGCATTATATTTCGAAGAGAATTGCCAGATTGTTACAATCGTCGCCCTTGACAGCGGTGAATAGGCAGAAGATTTTATTGTTTTAATGCACTTTTAATGTAGACTTGACAATACGTACATATACTTATATACTAATTGGTTATATAGAAATGTGACTTATGACGCTTTAGATTATTTTTTTAATGATAAAGAAGGACTGACAAGATCGTAGGTGTAATACCCCGACCTATAGCGTGTTAAGAAGACGCGCTGTCGACCTTTTTTTGCTTTGGAAATTCGGATACCCACAGATGGCAAACGAAATGCGACCAAACTTCACGGCTTTCTCATCTGTGGACGGTGATTCGTGACATGGACGGAATTTAGATATTCCTCCTACCTCCCATTTAATATCCAGATTTCCAGACGAAGTTCAACATGTATCACAGAATTATAAATAGGAAAATTAGAAACTCATTGGCCCCGATGAGGATCGCATCCACGACCCGTTGATTATTAGCCTTACACTGCTACCATTTGACCAAGGAGCCCGTCAAAAAAAATGTCTTACTGTAGTACTGCATTATCGATAACCGGCTTTGGGACATCACTTCGCTTGGACAGAATCCAAGCGAGTGGAGTCAGCTCAATAAATATGTATGAATCGGGTACTTGATGTTGGATGAAGGATGCTCGCGACGGACATACGATTACGTCCGCTGATAAACGACTTAATGGGGGTGAAATTGATGAGGTTTAATTCGGTAGGCTATTAAGTTTGAGTTTAAATGGTATTTCAATATAAAATTTTAGTAATTTTTCGTGTCTCATTGCAATTATATCACACTAGATGATTGTTTGTAAGATTAATATTATATGTTAATACAACTCTAATAAATAATAATAGGTAAAAAGCATACATTTTTACTAATTTGATTATCATAGGCTAGTTGCGAGTTAACTTAAAAGAAAAATATACACTGCTTGGAACATTTTTGGAGATTATAATTATTTCATACATGTTTTTTGGTTCCCCAACAGCGGAATTAATTTAAGCAGAATAATTTTCCTCGTGTTTTCCACATTTTCCACGGTTTCTTCGCTTTTTTGGTCATAGTGTGATGTTTTTTAGCCTAAAGCCTTCCTCGATAAATTAATAAAAAATCCTACCCAAAAATAATATTTCAATTCCAACTAATAGTTCCTGAGATTAGCGCGTACAAAGAAATTAACTTTATATACTTCAGCTTTATAATATTAGTTTAGATGTATCGTCGTCTTATTCCTATTCAGATTAAGCGTTCTGAGTGCAACTTTTTGCTCTTGTAGCGTGTAGAAGGTTTTCTTCCTTAGTTTCTTCTTCACGGCCTTAAGTTTCGATCGGGTCTCAGGTATTACTAAAATTTCTTAAAAACTTTTTTCAGCCAACATTACGTCGAGCATTCGCGTGTAAAAGATTGTATCAAACGATTGTTCGTAATTGTTTTACTCTTTTCGACCTTTCCAATTTTCGTTAAAAATGTTCTCCAGATTCACGTGGGGCTAATAAAAGTAAAGTTTATTTTAGTTGCGTGCCATCATAAAGCATGTTGCGTTTTATTTATGTACTAAATATATGTCATTTCCTGTCGTTTTATGAATGTAAACATATGACCCGTGTTGTGACGTTAGATATAAACGTTGTTTATACTTCATTGAATAATTGGTGCAACAAATATTTTAATTACTTTTGCTCCCAGTAAAAACGGTTTCACGTGGCCATATATCCTTCTCAAGGTATTTCCTAATTTCCCGCCACATTATCCTTCAGCGATCTCACGTATTTCCTTAAAAGCCTCCATAACTTAAACTCTGTAATGGGTGCTCGTTTATAGACTCATTGTGAGGCATTTTTCTCGTAAAATACAACGGGGCCATTATATTTCACAAGTTGAGAAGTAATTAAAAACACTAATTTGTGCGCGAAACGGCTGTTTAATTTCCCAGATTCAGGGGTTAAATCATAAATGTTACAAAAAACTTTGCTAACGTTATTTGCAACAACAGCATCGGATTTGTTTTATGATGAGAAGGAGAGAAAAGCAAAGAAAAGCCTCAGCCATAACGTTTTGGATTTTCGGAAATTCACAGACTAAGACCAAAACCGAAATGCGATTTAATTTCACAGTTTTTCGTCTGTTTTAACTCTGGTTATCTAGCTTCTCGACGAATAAGATAAGCTACGAGCCATGTAATGAGGAGTTGGCCGGCGAAATCGTAAATTATCGTCGAACAGCGTATTTTGTAGTTCTCCCAGCCGATAGCCTATCTGAGCAGTCGATGTTGGCTCTCGTCCAGCTCTTGTTGGCTAACTGTGCAGACTTGACCTCTTGACACTTGACAGTGACCGGTAGATACGCGTTTACGGCTAGGCTTAGCTTTATAACGGTCGTTCAGGAGAGCCCGCTCTCTAAGCGTTACAGTCCGTGTTATTGCACTGTGGTAAATTTTAAAGGAAGTTTATCACCGACAACTTATGACGGGCTCGCCATTAACGGGTTGGATCGATCCCCATCGGGTCCAACATCCAATTTTCCAATTAAGAATTTTACTGAAACATGTTGGACTTTGTCTGGAAATCTGGATACTAAATAGGTGGTATGAATATTGAAGTTCCGATCGAATTACGAACGCAGTCGACAAATAAAAAAGTTCGGTTTCAATCGATGGGTTTCCGAATATCCAATGCCGAAATAGGTCAATAGCGTATCTTTTGTAGATGTTAATAATAAAGATGGCTGAGGTATTACACCTCTCATCAAGCGAACCCCACGCTCGTCAGTCCTTCGCTATTTTGAAAATTCACTTTGAAAATAATAAATAAATAAAAAGTGATTTTTAAATTCCGTCTTTTTATATTTCTGATTTTAATCGTACTATTTACATACTGTTACTACTTAATCGAACTTCAATTATTTTAAATTGACAATTCCGAGGCAGATCTTCATTTGTGCACTATTATAAAATCGCGTATACTAATATCAAATTCTTTACAGTTACATGTATACGGTTGTGATTTACTTTCCTGTGTATCAAGCATTTTGAATGTGTTACTGTTTACAATTTTGATAAGCTCGTAGTCTTTATAAATGTATACAATTTACAAGTAGACATGTCGGCACCGCAACAGGGTTTTGTGCCTGAAAAGGTTCAGGAAGTCAACCGGCGCTCGTCCCAGGACGACAAGCGACCAGAGAACGCTCAGAATGACAAAGAGAAGGAGAAACCCGAACCGCCGAGAGCGGAAAGCAAGAACCCGTTTTCTCCCAGCGTGTACCGGGGAAGAACGGCCGGCCATTTTGAAATGGGTCCTCGCGGCTTAGATTACTCCCCTCACCGGATGGGACTGGAGTTTTCCAACCGGCTCCGGGATTATGGGCCGCAGAGGTCCTCGTCCATACATGGACATGAACTCACGGACGGTCCCATGAAACCTGAATATTTGGGACATCGAAGCCACTTCGGCAGTCAAATAGTGCCCGGCGGGATACACCCTGATGTCGTCTATCGGCAGGAGTACTACGGTCAGGTGGGATTCCCCCCGACAAGAACGCCTCGTTTCTCGTCGCAGGAGTATCTGAATGCGCCCGCGCAGTACGGAAGGTGGCAGGACTATCGCGTCGATTACAGGCAGCGCCGCCGGTCGCAACAGGACCTACATTCTATAGAGCACAGTCCTGAATCAGGTATTGTTGTCACAAAAATTCGCGTTCTTTTTTGTATATAATTTTTCATCACGAATGGAGCTTTGGCGCTAAACTTTTACCCTCCGAATTTACAAAACCTCTATTGGCTTTTTGTCCAAAAACTGACAGCGAAGCTTTTAGATTTATAAAGTTTGAAGTGAAAAAATAGTCCACAATTTTCAATGCCCATTGCGTACGTGGGATGAACAACAATTATAAGGGAAGGGCGCGCCCCTCTCAAGTGTCTCTTGCCATTCGTGGCTCCTTGTCGCCTCTGGGCGCTTAGTACTTGAAGGAAATTCGATTTTACTCTTTTGTGTCGTCTTATTTCGCGTTACTTACTTGACAGGACGGTCTGGGCTCATCGATATGCATGCATGCATATTTGCAGTTTTTAAAGTATAATAACTAGAAATCTTTAATATTTTTCACATATTACTGCAAATGATGGCATTAGGTATATAAATTAAAAATCAATTTCAGATATTAAAAAATACGACTCGGTCGGGACTTATACCGGTCGCCACGGCGTTTTTAAATTTAAAAACGATTTTTAACTTGTATCTATGTACTTTGGGGGGCTCGGTGGTCTAATAAACGGGTCGTGGGTTCGAGCCCCAACGGGTATTTAATTAATTAATGTAAAGTAAAACTTCATTTTATTTATTACAATGTTTACGCTATTTTGTCGTAAGATAAAGGCCGTTAGTGAGTTGTCTAAGATAACAACAATAAATTAGACGGGGTATCCTCATAGCGAACGCCGAGCCCAACCTTATTGTTAATTTCGTTTAATAATGGACTATGACCGTGTCTCGTGGAGTATTTTGTATTCACAAAAGGACAATTTAACAACCTTGAACTCTAGCTTTAATTAAATGGGATATTTTTATTATTTGTTTCTGCTAACTAGTCCTTTCATAACAAGTTAATTGAATAGTTTAAATAAAACACTTTAACGGTTTAAAACGCGATATATTCGTTAAACTTATTTGAAAATGATTTTTAACTTGGGCCCGACGTTTCGGATGCTTTGCAGCAGCCGTGGTGTACCCGCGTCTAAATGTGTACAACTCGGCTAATTTACAGACAGTATTCAGCCATATACTATCTAGACGAGATGTTGTTTTTAAACATTTGAAATCCACAGACTAAAAACCGAATCTCGATTAAACTTCAATACTTTTTGATCTATGGGCAGTGGTTCATGGGCTGAACGGAATTTCTATATTACTTCACTCAATTAATATATAGATTTTCCAAACGCAGTAGAACATGTCTTGCAAACACAAATTGATTAGAAACATGTCTGATCTGATGGGGATTGTTAATATTATAGTATATACTACCGTTTGACCCTCGAGCCCGTCAAGTTTTCTAGTTTAAAACTCCTTATTTGGGGTTCAAACAATAAAAGTATGTCAACAGTAAATTTATGGTGCTTCGTCGAGACCCAAAACCAGGAGCTCTCGCGCAATCTAAAGCGTTACTTAGATAGCCTTTACAATTATTTGCACAGTAAAGTGTAAATAAACGTATGTAGAGAGTAAAAGCCTCGTTCGGCAGCGCAGCTTCGTCTGAAATGTTTACCTGGGCCGTCAGCTGTGGGGTCGACGACCTCGATCGATCCATTCACGCGCCTCAGTAGCGTAGTCGGCAGTAGTACGCTGTACTATACACTTCCTGGCGTTCCGCCTTCCACCGGCTAACTTGCTTTTATAGGCCATATTGTTAAAAGTTACGCCATCCACCCGTTCCCTTCCGTTTCGTCTGTATTTTGACGACGATTCGGGATTTCGGGGCTTGTAATAATAAGGTCCACACACACAAATTTAATGTACTACTCACACATGCACGATTATTAAAACGTTTCTTACGAGTTCTTGACGAAATTGTAACGAAGCAACTAAAGCTAACTCTATTGGACAGCTTTGCACATTTTTACAGTTCCGTACTCCAGTTAGGTGCTTGAGTATTTCACATTCCATCAAGTGATCGTCTAGATGCAATTTCTCAGAAATCATTTCGCCTTGATTCAACTAGGCGGGAGCGTTGTCTGCCTAATTTAGCTTTCAAAAATTCTCAGACTGAACTTGTAAACGGTGGTTCGGAACCCGAACGGAATTTTGATATTCAAATTTTCAAACTAAGTTTCAGTTCCTATGTTCAAAAATATTGTACGTTTATTAGAATCATGGTGGGGATCGACCACGACCCGTTTATCATTAACCATACAATTTGCTTATTATATTTATTAAGATGCATTAAAACAACAATGACATAAACATACCTTACATCTACTATACAAAGTTACTGTACAAGCCTTTTCCACTAAAAAAACGTAACCTCAAAAACTTTTTAAAAACAAAATATCATATTATACACGCAATATGTCTACTTGTAAATGGGAGAGCGAACAATACCGAATGATTGAAATCCAATTTTCTGCTTTTCTACTTTATAGAAGGTTATAAAATTGCACGCGCAGAATGCTCCAGAATTGATTTAGGGCTAAAAATAGTGTAACCTCAGACTATGCGGTGACAATCATTTCAGAGGAAACGGGACAATTTGTGTTATTTAAGTATACGTTAGGAAATTTAATACACTAAGGTTTATCGAACAATTTATTACTCGTGTACATATTTTTGAGACAAGAAACAACACTTTGTTAATCTGTGTGTTTGCCTCATTGAGAAACTAATTAAGGAGACACGGTAGCTTAACTGGTTAGAACAAAAAGGAGCACGACTTAATGTGCTCACGATTTTTTTATCTAATCTACTATTAAAAAATGTATTTTTAATTAATTTATTATGTAGTAACTGTAATTATGACAATAATTTAAAGAGCTATATTAAGAGCTAATGTCCTCCAATGCTAAGGTGCTTGAAGAAAATCAATAGTGATATATAGATTGCCGGAGACTGCCTATTTCACAAGCACCCCGAGCGAGTATTTTTGTTGAAAGCGTCTGCTTTTCCGAGTTGTCCTATCAATTCACTCGACATTCAAGTGAATTACATTTCGCTGTTTCTGCCGTTCATGCGGCAACCTTGCTTTGATCAATGGTGACTTTTGACTAATAATGATTGATCTTTAACTTGTAATGAAGATAATACTAATATACATTTAATTACGAAATCCAACTATCAATATTCGATATCTCTCTTTATTCTTAGTTGATTAGTTGACTAGCGACGTGGTCCGCGAAGAATAGTTATTTGGGCATCAATATTTGTTTTTGCATACCTACTTACTCCACATCTTTATACATTATAGTTGTTAACCACGATGTCGTCTCCGTCCCGTCGTTCTTGCAAGTTAATCTTAAGCGATAGACTTATACCGTCGTGGACGTTTTTCAGATCATTAAAAGAGGAATCATGTTTCAACCAATCATATTGCCCATTCGAAGGTAATATTGTATGCATCAACATAGTAATATGTACAGAGGCACCGCAGCTGTTGCTTAAATCCGGCTTATGAGCCGCTCGTGGAAATAAGCCTCATTCATTATTAACCGACTGCGAATGTTTGTTTGTTCATAAATACAATAAATATACATATATGTTTATTTTCATAATTTTTATTATATTCCGCTACCAACATAAAACCTAGATTTCATCGAAATCTCCACCTACCTACATATTTGGCGTGAGTATTTTGTTGATCACAAATTGTTTAAAAAGGTTTCTATTAAGTAGTTTTCATATTAAAACTGATGCTTTTATCATTTGAACGAAATGATAAAAGCATCAGTCCGTAGTTAAAATAATAAGTTTAACTAATATATACCGTGTTTTAAACCGTTATAGTGTGTCGTTTTTCATAATGTATAAATATTTCTGAAAATGATTCAAATTCAATATAAGGTAATTACGTAAATATTTAATTAAAGCCCAAAACAATACTCGTTACCGATAAACATTATTTCTCATACTATGTGTCTACATAGAACCGATAGAGGAAGAATTTTAAAATTAAATCGCGTTTATTTCCCTAAGCCCGCCGTCGCACAAACACTGTAGCGAAGTCCCTGTCCATTCGGCCCCCGTTTGAATAAAACAAAGCCCCGAATGCCACTATAATTGTGCGAAACTCGAAAGTATTTTCTCATAAAATACAAAACTATAGTCAGCCGTTATTTGTCATGTAACGTCGCCGTTGATGAGGGTTTGGAGGTACAGCAAAGTGATTTACCGGGTGACGCTCTGAATCCGACGATGTTCCGAAACATAAACAATTTTAGGCTTTTTGTTATGTCGGTCAAATGCATCGAACATCAAAGAACAACTCATTTGAAAGGGGAGTATTACGATCGTGTTTTGGAATGCTACCAAATCAATAATGTTGTGTACAGTCGCCGTGACAAGTCTATTCGCGTGAATAATTTCGTGTTGACACGTTACTTCACTTACTACTTTGTAACGTCAAGTTAGCAAGTGTAAATAGTATTTTTGTGAACTTCTTCACCCCCTTTGAAAGGTATGATTGCATGAGTCGGAGCTTGGCTACTGTAACTAATACAATAAGGATATGAAATGTTTCATTTCGTCATCAGATTGAGTCTTAAGAGGATTTAGGGATCGTTCTAGAAAGTTAATCTTTAAAGATAGACATACAGTGTCGTGGACATTGTTTTACATCATTAGAAGATAGCTCATTAATTTAAAAATCGAAAATAAATTGAAAAAACATGTGAACAATATTAATGTTTTCAAACGTTATAACTTTGTAATTTCATCTTCAATGATTTCTGACGCTGCAAAGCATTGAACCTTAGTACGCAAGTGTTAAGGTTGGAATTACATTGCGCGAGAGGTGTATGTATCAATAAGTTGAAAAAATTCGACGATGAGGTAGGACTCGGTAGCTCAATCAGCACGGAAAGCTGACGATGCCGGTTCAAGGCCTGCCCAAATCGAAAATGTTTTCAATTTATTTTCGATTTTTAACTTATATAGTGCCTTCATGTGCAATAACATGTGAAAAATATTAATGTTTTCAAAGATAACTCCTTGTTTCATACATATTTTTT